AAAGAGGGGGGAAAAACAAACAGAACCCAGTCAACTTATGGTAACCAGTATAAAATGAAATAGATAGGTGACGGAGCCACTGATTTATTTCATTGGTGCATATATGGAACAATGTCAGACTATTTGGGAAATGTCCTCATACATAGGAACTGCCTCTACGCAGTTCTTGTTTGGGAGAAACAGAAACCAACTCTACTCACCCAGAAAAGGAATTTACTGATGCTATCAGCTAGCTAATAGTATCAATGCATATTTTATTACAATTAAAAAAAAAAGGAATCAATGCAAAGCCTAGGGATGGATAGGTACAAACAGGTGAGACAGCAGTAACTATGCCAACTCCCTTCCCCAAACAGTCTAGTTTGGGAATCTCTGTTGGCTCCATCTCCTGTTGGCTCCATCTTCTATCTTCTTCCATTTGTCCTTTTCGGATAGCAAGTCTTCTGGTTCTTTCAATTATATTAAACCAAAATGAAAGAAAAAAAAAAACCTCTAAGCAGAGTTTTATAAACATATTTATGGTAAATTATTGATGACTTGTAAATTAAAACGTTTACCAATTTGTTAAATGTTATTTCAGTATTCCATTTGTGAGCATTTATCTTATTACTAAGGTTGGTCATTTGTTTACAATTTATATTTCTTCTTGGGGTAGTTTTCTATTTTGTTAAACAGGCTCTTGATTTTTCATCTATGTTCTTTTCGACATTGTTTTCAACAAAAAACAAAAGTTTTACTACAAAGACTGGATCTCTAATGTCGGAATTTCAGGTTGTGAAAGTAAAATACAATGCAGTGAATGTGCATAAAACATGGTCTAAGGCCCTCCAATTTCAGACTTTGTTAAATCAAGTATATCAAATGGACCTAGTTCAAGAGACATTTAGGAGGCTCTTTCACTTATTCAAGGATTTGTTCCAATGTGCCTTCTTCTTTACTACCTCAGGGTATTTAAAATCACAGTTATACTGCCTTAGATAGAAAAGAGACTTTATTTTCAATACGTTTGCAATAGAATTGCAGAGAAAGGCTTAAGATATCCTAGGCTGCAAAGCACTCTGAACACATTTTAGTGTATTTTGAAAAAAAATGGGTAAGGGCTGTTGGCCCTAAGGGGTCCCCCCACCCCAGTACACATAGAATAGTAAGAGTTGTAATTGAGCCATCAACAATTAGTACTTTTTTCTTTTAATATAGTTCATCCATTCAACAAATATTTACTGAGCACCTACTCAATGTTTGGGACTTATCAGTACACCACAGAGGCCAAAGATTGCTGCTTCCACATTGGGATGGTGGTGGCGGGCGGGAGAGACAGCCTGCGCCGTTAAGAGAAAACCGAGAATTCGTGCCACGAAATGAGGTCTTTTTTCTAGCTGAGCTGGTAAATTGTATTGCGAGGAAAGAGTGCCCTAAGCAGTGTTAAATTCACAACTAGGGCCAGATACTGGATCTAACTGACAGAAGCCTGGTTGCTAATTACAAGTTTGAAACCCCTTAAGGTAGTTTACGTCCCTAAAACATCAAAGTAATAACGGTTATAGGCCCGAAGGAACGAAGTGCAGCTCAAAGTATTACTAGAAAATGTGCTGATTCTTTATTTGAAATTCGACCCCATTGAAACGCTGCTTGCCTATTTATAATCTAGTATTTTGGGCAGACCAAGTTTTGTTGGGCTGTGTTTCTCGGCCGGCACAAACGATCATTACGCTTTGTGCCCTGCTTTATATTGATCCTTATGCCAAAGCGGTCAAGCTTCAACCAGGTAGGGAGGAAAGCGTCCTCTGATGCAAACTGCCCGGACAGCCGACGCCGCTGGGGAGTCCTGCGGCGGAGCTCCGTTTTGGGTAGCAGCGGCGTTGTCGGACGCCACTCAGGAAAGAAACTTAGATCGTGGCCATTTTCTCTACTGTCGACGTGCGTATGGCATATTTTATGTCAAAGCGAAAGCGACACTTCCTAGTTTCCAGGTACGCGTCCAAGAAACTCGGCGCTTCCTGGCGTAGGGAGACGCGGCGTGCTGACAGACTCGCCTCTGGCCAGTCGGTCTTTTCCTCAGTGTTCGATTGTCTTTTTGTCCCTGGCATTGGTTTGATTCCACGCCACAGAAGGAATGGACAGGATGGGCAAAAAGTGGGGGCGACAGATAGGTTCGGAGGGCCCCCTCAAAACGATGCAGAGACGCCACCTCATCCCAACGAAGGGCCAGGCAACCTCACGGCCTAGCAAAACACCCAGCTCACTATCTACCCCTATCCTGCCCGAAGCCACCGCTAAGGGTCGCAGGCGAGGGCGGGGCCGCCATATCTTCTCGCGAGACCAACCACGCGATTTCCCAGAAAGCCTCAGGCAACAGCTTAACAGCGGCTAGCGAGCCGCTTTTGGGCGGAAGGGTGGGCGGGGCTTGCCCAGATATTTAGCGGCGGCAGAGGCCACACCCCAAATCGGAAGTGACGGAGACGAGCTAGCGCGTCGGATACCTCTATGGTTTTCCTCCCGTTCTTGAGTCGGGAAATGGCCGCAGTGTAGTTACGACGAAGATAAGTCCCGGGAACGGTGCTTTGGCGTGTCAGGTAGGCCTCGCGCTGCATTCAGAGCGCTCAAGGGTAGTGAATGCCAAGGACGAATGAATATTGTTGAGTCTTTTGTGGGTGGTGGCGGGTTGCGGGCGACAGGAGAACCCAGGAGACGTTGTGCCGTTATTTATGCGTTTCTCCGTCAGTTTTCCTCAGATTTTCGAGGCACTACGGACCGAAAAGGTGGGGGTGGGGTGAGCAGCGAGAACAGTGCGCGCGCGCGCGCGGCTGCAAACCTGGCTCGAGATCCAGGGACCGCGCGGCCTTCCGTGCGCGTGCGCATATCACTCTTCAACCCTTCCCCCATTTCCTCGGTCCGGACCCCTGCGCGCGCCCGATTGAACGCTCGCCGCGCGCACGCGCGCTTCCTCTTTTCTGGATTCCCCGCCTACGGCTCCTGAGGCTGCGAGAGGTGCAACTTGGGTTTACCTCTCGTTGGCTGGGATCGCCACCTTTCTTCTCGGCCTTTGGGGCTTTGATATAATAACTATGACCCTGCAGCAAAGTGCCCTGGGTAGGTTAACCCCCATTTCACGTGGTGTTTAAACTTCTTTTGCTCGGCTTCACGCTACCCGTCGTTTTACGCCTCATTTTTGTTATACTACGTAGTCGTAGGATCCCGTTTTGCTGTCCCTGGTAACAACCCCGCATCCGCCTCGGGCCTGTGGTGGTGCAGGAAAATTTCTTCGGGGATTTATCTTCCTGGGCCTTGGCAACCCACTCTTATTTTGGAGGAACGTACACTGTTGACTCTCGGAGTTGGTGCCTAGTTACTGTTTCCTGGCATTGTAAGCCGGCCTTAGCTGATGCATCCAAGAGTGGTCCTACTACTCTGGCCGAAAGGACAGTTCTCCAGTAGTACAACTGAAGCCATGTCCTTTCAGCAAGTGAGTCAGCCCATGATATTGTGTTAAAAATGTTGCATCCGTGATTGGTAGTTGGTGGGATAAATGGGTGTGAGTGGTGAGTTGAGGTTGGGGACTCTGCCCTCATTTTAAGTCCGTAAGTTGGCTTTATTTACTTTTAAAGTTTATCTCATCAAAATCAAGCAGCGGTACTGGCAACTATTATATATCAAACTTTTTTTGAAGCGTTTTAGAATTGAAAAAATTACACCAAAGTTGAAGGCAAATACAACCAATACTGATGTAAAGAAATTAGCTACTTCAATCCTTTTGCAGTGGCGCCTTTAAAAATTTTTTGCGATTAAAAAGCAAAACAAAATTATTTATCCCTCATGTCTCATTCCAGTTGGACTCTAGTTAAATGGTTGGACTACTGTTTAGACAATAACCTTTACATAGGAAAAACCGATACAAGTTTATTTGCATTTTCATGTGACCCTAGCCCATTCAGGAAATAATAATTTGATGGGAAGGATTGTACTTGAAGGGTAGGTAGCTAGGTGTGAGGAGAAGACTTACAGTAATAGAGAAAGTCTTTTCAGTTCTACCTAGGGCTTTGGATTGGGACTTTCTGGAAACTGCATTCAAAATCACTAATTGAGCATTAGCTGAATTCCGCTGTGTAATTTAGTGACGTATTAACAAAGAAGTAGATTTGAGAATCAAGAAGTCCAACTTATCTCTGGGTAGTAAGTGTGCTTAGGTTATACTTATAGGTTATGAATTTGTTCATTTTTCTTCTTAAACAGTGGTCATCAGTGTTACCTCAGAGTCTTAAGCATTTAATATCTTGACTATCCCCAGGACTGAAAAAAACCTAATCTGTAGACATTAAGGTAATAATAAAACCAGGCTACATTTATGTACTATTTTGGAGTTTTCAAATACTTAAAAAATTTTTTTGATCCAGTATTTCTCCATTTATTAGTTGGAGGCCAAAAGGGTAAAACATTTGTTTAAGGCCACACGAACCAGGGAGTGGGCCAACCTGATCTAGAATCAGGTTTTCTTTTTCTCAGTTCTGTGCCCACCCCCATCCCCCCTTTCTTTTTTTAAAGCAAGATGACAAGCCGAACGAAGAACTAAAAATCTGTGACCAAACCTGTCATTTTTAAGCTTTTAGTTATGGAACATTTCAAGCAGAAAAGTAGCATAGTGAACTCTAATGTTATCTAGGTTTAATGATGACTAGCGTTAGCTATTATGTTTCATTTACCTTTTTCTGGAGTGTTTTAAAGAAAAATTCCAGTCATTAAGCATTTCTTGAAAGATTTTATAATGCTAATTAATGGTATATCAAAACTATTCAAGTAATTTACATACAAGAATTAATTGAAACAAAATTAATAGCCTGCAGGAAAGACTGTTATAGAACAGGTTTACCAATAATGATAGTTAATGTTTGAGTGCGTACCATATGCCAAACATTAAGCTATTTATTTATATTCATTAATTCAGTTCATTTAACCTTAAAACTATAAGTACAATGATTAAAATGCCTTATTTTATACGTGAGGAAATTGAAACTGAAAGAGATTAAGATAACTTGTCTAATGTTGGGCAGCTAGTTAACGATCAAGGCAGAAATTTGAACCTAATCTATTGGAGTAATAGTCATGGAATATTATTTTTAGAACTTCTAAAGATGTGAATAGTAATGATTTGTTTACAAAAATGTGGAGCCTAACCTCCCTGAATCTGCTAAAATAAAGTCTTAGCTCAAGTATGCTTCATAGGGTAACCTAAAGAATACATTTTGGGGGCATATTTTGTTGAGTCCAGTTGTCTGCTTTTTTTATCGCCTGTGTTCTAAACTGATCATTATTATTCCATAAAAGATAGGCTCTGTTAAGATATTTAGGAACTTTATTTCAAAAAAATAAAGCCTGATTTATTCTGTACTCTTCACTGGTTGGTGAATCCATTGGATAAAAATGCATGAAGCAATTTATTCCCTATCTCTTTACAATCTGTTTTTAAGGGATCTTGTTTGTAATGAAGGGTAGATTGATTTGGCATTTTGAATTCTATAGGTAATTGCGATATCAGGCATCTTTCAGGGTATTGGAGAGAACCCAGGAGTGAAATCAGGAGATGGTTAATTTCTGGATTAACTTTTGCACTCTGACCAAGGGCAACCTAAAAGGGCAAATGTCTTTTCTCCCCCAAACTTGTACTTCTCCTAGATGCTGGAGCCCAAAACTTAGAATTTAAGGATACTGTTGATTTTTCTTTTTTTCTCATTCCCATCTGCACCACTCCAGCAACCTATGAGCAAGTACTGTTGACTGTACTTCCAAATCAGATTCTATCTTCAGTGGTACCACTTTATCCAGGCAAACCATTATATTGAACTTCAACCTTAATTTGTCTGTTCTCTCCATGTTGTCTATGCTTTACACAACAGCCATTTATTTAGAAATGTAAATCAGATGGTGTGACTTCTTCCCTGATTAAACTTTCCAGGACCTTCCCATTACAGTTAGAATAAAATCCAGAGTCCTTGCTCTTGCCTACTTACTATTGGGTCATCGGGAAAGTCATGACGTATTTTTTCTCTGTTTTTCAATGCAAAATGCGTCCTGACTTACCCGACGACCCAATGGATGCTATTTGATGTGGTTCTTTCCTGCCTCCTCTGCCTTATCTCATACCCTCTCCTGGATCATAACGCCTTAACTTTCTTACTGGTCTTTCTGTCCTGGTTTTGCTAACGTTGTCTCCTCTCCCTAGAATGTAGAATACTCGTCTTTCCATGGGTCTTTGCAGTGTTCTTGTCTTTAGCTTAAGTGTTACCTCCTTTAAGAGGGCCCAGGGACCCAACATTAGTAGTCCTCCTCTCTACCTCTTCTTAACACGTCCCTTCTATTTTTTGTTTTCCCTTTTGCACTCCCTTCTACATAAGCTAGAAGAGAGTAGGAAACCTAATGTCTCGCTTAAAATGCTGTATTTCTAACACTAAAACTATAGTGCCTGGTATGTTAATAGGCACCTTATAAAGTCAAAGGAATTCCGAAAGCTTAGAGTTCTCAACATTTGAAAGATGAGGTTTATAAGCAGCTCTTGAGATTATGAGGAATAAAACGAGGTGATTTTATTTATTTTAGTTGAGCCATCCTGCCATCTGTTGGCAGCTCAGCGGCAGCTCAGCTTTGGCCGGGAATCGAACCACTGTTGCTCAGAGCTCACACTCTTGTGTGAGCTCTTAACCAACTGAGCCACTCGGCTGGTCCTAAATGAGGTGATTTTATTTAAAGTCACATAGCATGGTTTTTGGCACATGGTTGGTATTTAGATGTTTAGTTTGCTGTGATTTATTGATTTCTTTTCCTCTCTAGTTGGTTTTTGGAGGGCAAGAGTCTTTTACATAGTCATGTCTCCATAATACCTAGCATAGTGCATAGACTTTCATTAAAAAAAATTAGCTGAGTTGACTATATTAGATGTTAAATATTACGTATGTTGTGTATCATATCTTACATATGATCATTGAGTTCTTAGTATGGTTACTTATACTATGTATTTATAGATTGTGAACAAGAATATTTATCTACTGGTCTAACAGCCTACAGCCCCTTCTCACCCACCGCATCACTTTGCTATTTCTAGTGTGTATTTTCTTGGAACTTCAAAAACTCCTGATTTGGAGTAAAGAGAGATTTGGCAGTTGGTTCTTATCGGATATATAGAAATTTAAATTAGCCTTTTAGACTTGTTTTGAGGAAGTGTTAGTTAAAATGAACTTTGTATCCCTTTCAGCAGTGACATCAGTAGTACTGGACTTCTAGGTCTGAATAAAGTTTCATAACAGCACTTCAGAAGATTGGTTTTTCTCTGCCCCCTTGGGGATTTGATATTTTTAAAATTATAGACATTCATGCACTTTAGAAATCCTTTGTTTCTGGTCCATGACCCATTGTTTTTGCTACTTTTTATTTTAGTGTATTTGTCTTAATTACTAGGTTTCCATTCCTCCTTCCTAGGTTGAACCTCAACTCTCTTAATCTCCCCTGGCAGTAGTGCCATGGGTATTTATAGGACACTGTTCTTGATTTACCAGTTTAATCTTATCACTTCTTCTTTGTATTTCTAATTTTACTGCCTTTTTAAATTGGATCGATTACTTGGTAAGATTCACAGATTTTCATAAGAATGTGTATTTTTTTCATTTAGGCTGGTTTATGAATTCCTTGAGTGTAGGCATCCAATCTTGTTGTCTTTAGTTTTTGCTCTCCTGATGTTTTTTGACTGGCATTTGCATATAGTTGATGATTACTGAATGTCATAAGGCTAACCTTTTCAGTTTTGATAACTGCTTAATATTTTGTGCAAAATGTAAATTTATTTGAATAGTAATAGTAAATTATTTTAGAAAGAGTATTGGCTTCCAATAGATATTTAATTTACTGACTGTTCTTTTATTGGAACGTCCGCCGTACATGTATCAAAATGCTTTTAGGCACAAAGCTTAGAGTTACTGTGATGGCTGTTGTATGAATTGTAAAAAAATCCATTTCAGATGAAACTAATCTGTATGAAAGGAAGTGGCCAAAAGAGAGTAAGTAACTTAGCAAAGCATTAAAATAAACTCATGTTTTAGATAAGTTATAAAATATAATTTTGATATACCAGTATAGCTGGTTAGGTTAGCATTAGGTTAGCTACTTTGGAATTTTCTGATAGGATGGCAGCATATGTTTTGTAAACCCCACATTGCTAAAATTAGAATTCAAGTATGTAAATTAAAAAAAGCAGAGCTGCCCTTATTATGCACTGTTGCATTTTGATTAAAACAAAAAGTTAATTAAGTTCTTTAAGCTTTTATGGTTAAAAGTTTATTTTCTAAATCAGTTTCCCCTTCCCTGAAATCATTAGTGTCTTTATTAAGAGTTTATTTCAATGCTGAGTATAAGACATTGTAAACAGTAGATATTTATTTTACCTTAAATCAAACTCATATTTTTTATTTTTGCCAGGAATTGTAATTTAGAGTTTAGCTTCTCAGAAAATTTGCTCCAGGAAGAATTTTTCAGTATTTCAAAGACTTCACTTGACTGCTTAATCCTGCATAAAACCCAAGGTAAATAGCATTCATTTTCCTAGTTTTCTGTGTTGGCTTATTTGAGAAAATGTGACTCCTGCTAAACTCATGATTCTGACTGAGTGATTAAAAGTGATGTGGTCCGAAGCTTTTTTTGTTTTTGTTTGTTTTGGTGGCTTGTATGAAGTAAGACAGATTTTAAAAGTTAGGTTTAGGAGAAAGATTCTCAATCTCCCCTGCTTTTAAGTTATGTGGCTGCTTCTGCTTCTATAAATACATCTATTTAAAGACTCAGAACACACAAAGCTACTTAAAATAAAACAAGGCAAAATAATCCTGCTTGTTGAATTCATCTTCCCTTATGCATAGAAGAGGAGTTCTGTAACTGAACTTTTCCCCCTTATATAGTGTTAAGATAATTAAAATTGGTTGTTTATTATATGCTAAACCTTGTATTAAGCATTACATATGTCTATTTAGTCTTCACTACAACTTTGAGGAACATAGTGTTTTTATGTATTTCTTAGATTTAAGAGTAAGAGATAAAAGACAAAGCTGATATTTGTCTATTTGAGGATAGTTATGTTTTATTTTGAAATACATATTTGTCTGAAACCCTGAATTTGTCATTTGTATATTTTGGTGAGGTAGTATGCAGACTATTATCATCTCTCTTCTATAATTCAGCTCATCTTAGTACTTTTAAACACTATAATACTGAGCAAAGTCAAGGTAGATAAAACTCAAAAAATATTTGGTTGTAGGAAAAAAAGTTTGAATATATAGCAATTGCAGGCTATTTAGTGAGTTGCTTTTATAGAAGTGATTACTAATTTTGAGTAATCAAATTAGTTAATCAAGTAACTTATTATTCTAAGTTATTTGAGTAATCAAATAAGTTAGTGGAAATGGGAAATAATTATAGGAGAAATAAACTTGGGATATATGTAATTTTATGAAGAGTAGATCGTATAAATGTATTAGTACTGTTACTGATTTCTGTACCCAGTGAGGTCTAATTCTTGCATTAAATACTAAACAGGATTAAAAAAAGTTAGAATACTGGCACCCAGTTCTCTCTTTCTTGTAGCTCCAATATCTCTTTCTTACAGTAACTTCTCCAGTTTCTTTATCTTTTACACTTTTTCTTCCTCTTACTCAAAAGCTACAGGGTGGGCTAGGCATTGTCACATTAGTTCATTTTTATTCTGCACCCATGATTATTAAGAGCAGAGCTATGACTCCAGCTGTTCAGAGACTTAGTGACTTTTATTCTGCTAGGAGACTATCCACCATTTCAGGCAGTATTGTATACATGGACTGGTCAGTAGAGCTCCATTTCAAGGCCATAAAGCATTTGTGATGATAATCTGGTAGGTTATTTTTCTTTAGTATTATGCCACTTACATTTTCTTTGTTTCAGGTTCCTTATCTGTAATATTCTATATTATTTATCTTTTTTTACAGGAGTGGTAGGCATTTGTATTGGGTATGGAATAATATTGAACATACTGCTGTAGTCTGGTATCATTGCTTTTTCTGGCTTCTGCAGCTGCTGCCTTTTTGGATTGAGGCACATAAGTGGGCAGTCCATAGAAATCTTGTTATGTCTTCAGTATATATGGTACCTTTCATGCAGGTGAAAATACAGTTTTAATTAGGAATAATTGACTGACTGTACTCATTTGAAAAGAAGGATGAATGTTATCCTTTGAGAAACTTAGGTTTTGGAAAATTCAATTTGTATCTGAAAATTTGCATAATGTGAAACTCAATTATATTGTGACTTTTAAACTTTGCTCTCTCATTTGTCTAGGAGAAAAGAAATGGGTCGCTCCAATTCTAGATCACATTCTTCAAGATCAAAGTCTAGATCACAGTCTAGTTCTCGATCAAGGTCAAGGTCACATTCTAGAAAGAAGAGATACAGGTGAATTATTGTGCTTTTAAATGATAATCATATCAGCTAATTATGGAGTGCCTAAGTGTATACAAAGTACTAAAAATTCATTAATGTATTTTATTCTTAAAGAACCCTGTCAAATGGATCTATTGTTAACCTCATTTCAGAGTTGGAGAAAATAAGAATTACTTAAGTTGTAAGCTAGTAAATGGCAGAGCTTAGATTAGAATCCAGCTAGTCTGACTCTAGATCTCAAATTCTTACTGTGTACTATATGGTGGATTTCTTGTATTTATCTGTAATGTTAAGAGAGGAATTGGATAACATAAGAATTAATGTTAGAATTAATGGCGGTAAACAATCTTTGTATATTATTTCATAGTTTCTTATTTTCTGAATGAGGTTTCCTTAAGTTCTTTTGTTAAAAATGATTGTCATTTTTCAAATAATAATATATACTTAGCATAGAAAATAGAAACTACAGGTTAAAAATAAAAATGACCATACTGTCATTAAGAATTAATATTAGTTTTATGATTTTTTTCTGCATTATTTTTCTAGGCCTAACTGTATTATGTATTCATTTGGCTAACATCATTTCACTGAAGAGTATTCTGTGCCATTAAAAATACTGTCGGGCCGGCCAAGTGGCTCAGTTGGTTAAGAGCTTGCCCAAGAGTGCAAGCTCTGAGCAACAGCGGTTCGATGCCTGGCCCAAGCTGAGCTGCCGCTGAGCTGCCAATAGGTGGCAGGATGGCTCAGCTAAAAAAAAAAAAAAATTACTTTTACACTGTCCCTTTAAGTGCTTGCATAGTCTACTATAATTTGTTAATGCCATTTACTCCTGTTGGCTATGTCTTTTTTCCTGTTTTCTGTGCCTTCATTCCCAAGGCCTGTAATTTATTCTCAATATTTACCTTAGAAATGAGATTTTTCTTCATTGAAAACAGTAAACTTTTACACACATGAGGGGTTTTTTTTTGTTTTGTTTTTTAAGATTTTTATTGGGGAATTGGGGGATGGGAACAGCGCTCGGGAATTGGGGGAAGGGGAGCAGACAAGTTGCTGTCCTTTTGTTCTTCAGTCTAGTTGTGGAGGATGTTGCTTCACTGGCCCAAGTTGGCACCATCGCGTTCTTTCTGGGCGAGGCAGATCAGTCGCCGGCTTCTGCACGGCCGCTCACAGCGGCTGCTCTGGCCGCTCACGCTGGCTGCTGGCTACACACGGTAACCGCCCATGGCAACCCACTGCCACAGGGGCTGCAGCTTACGCCATCGCCAGCGACTCACGGCAGCCCAGCTCCAGGTTGAGCTGCTGTTCAGCTTCTTAGCTGTGGAGGGCAGTGTCACTGGCTCTCATATGTGGGATTCGAACTGGGGCCCTCTGGCGTCCCAAGCCAGCTCTTAGCCAATGCGCCACTCAGCCGGCCCACATGAGGGTTTTTTATGTACAGTTTTAGCTTTGACAGTTGATTTACATGTTACATTCAACCAGAAGTGTTTAGAATTGTAGGATGGAATAATTTAATTTTATTGCATTGATATTTATTTCATCTTTAGTTCTAGGTCTCGTTCCAGGACGTATTCAAGATCTCGTAGTAGAGATCGTATTTATTCTAGAGATTATCGGCGAGATTACAGAAATAATAGAGGAATGAGACGACCTTATGGGTACAGAGGAAGGGGTAGAGGGTATTACCAAGGTGGAGGAGGTAGATATCATCGAGGTGGCTATAGACCTGTCTGGAATAGAAGACACTCTAGGAGCCCTAGACGAGGTCGTTCACGTTCCAGGAGTCCAAAAAGAAGATCCGTTTCTTCTCAAAGATCCCGAAGCAGATCTCGCCGGTCATATAGATCCTCTAGGTCTCCAAGATCATCCTCTTCTCGCTCTTCATCCCCATATAGCAAATCTCCTGTCTCTAAAAGACGAGGGTCTCAGGAAAAACAAACCAAAAAGTCTGAAGGGGAGCCCCAAGGAGAGAGTCCTTTGAAAAATAAATCACAGGAGGAACCGAAAGATACATTTGAACATGACCCATCTGAATCCATTGATGAGTTTAATAAATCATCAGCTACATCTGGTGATATTTGGCCTGGTCTTTCAGCCTATGATAATAGCCCCAGGTCACCCCATAGTCCTTCACCGATTGCTACACCACCTAGTCAGAGTTCATCTTGCTCTGATGCGCCTATGCTCAGCACAGTCCACTCTGCAAAAAATACCCCCTCTCAGCATTCACATTCCATTCAGCATAGTCCTGAAAGGTCCGGGTCTGGTTCTGTTGGAAATGGATCTAGTCGATATAGTCCTTCTCAGAATAGTCCAATTCATCACATCCCTTCACGAAGAAGCCCTGCAAAGACAATCACACCACAGAATGCTTCAAGAGATGAGGCTAGGGGACGTTCCTCATTTTATCCTGATGGTGGAGATCAGGAAACTGCAAAGACAGGAAAATTCCTAAAAAGGTAAGAACCAAAGTAGAGAATTTAGATTATAATAATACTTTTGTTCTTTGAATTCTCTTTGGATATATAAGACTTAAAATTGCATCGTGATGTGTATTTAGCTGTTTTTCCGCATGACTTCCTTCTTTATAAGTTAATTCCTCATTGTTTTTACTCATATCTTGTTAACTTTGGAAATTAAGTGTTTTAATAGAAACTGATTTTATATCCCTCCTTTTAATTTTATCCATTTTCAGTCAGTTCAGAATTAAGAATGTAAACAAGGAAAAATTAGCATAAAGCATAACTGATAACTAAATTGTTATAAAAACAAAAAAAATTTAGAGATTAATTTTGTGTCAGAGCATTGAAAGCTTATTTTGTCCTCTTCACCATTATAATATGACTTACATATAATAATGCAGTTTTATTCTGTGTTCTTGTGTGGTATTATAAACAGTCCAGCTGCCAATTTTTGATAAATTGGCCTTAGGTAATGGTATTTCTTAGTGCCTCTAGTGACATTTTAAACAGATACTTCGTTTAAATTCTAATTTCAAGTGTTGCTAAAAAACTTAATGAAAACTGGTTGCTAATGTAGAGTGATTGACTTAAAAGCGAGGAAACAGAGTAAACATGCTGTTTATGTACAGTGCTATGTGATCTAGAATTTTCTTATTGAACGGATACATAGTTTCTACTTAATGCCAGAAATCATCATTTTCTTTGGCAAAGTGTATATGGATCATTGTTATTCAGAACTCTTCTTTATATTAGTGGATAAGTAAGTGAAATAGCCTGAAAATTTGCATGTAATCATAAGTAGAATTCTAATAGATATGTATATTGTTGACTAGTGGTCCTTAACCTCAAAAATTAAACTCAAGCTGTGTTGTATGTTATAGAATCTGGAAATTTGGATTTGTTAGTGCAAAACTGTGGACTATGACTAAAATGAACAGGTTTTTGAGAATGGATTTGCTTTTTAAACTTTAGGTTAAAATCTCAGTGCATAAGCGCTGTATGGATGCCTTTAATTTTTTTTTAAAGTGGAATCTGAAAAAACACTTCTCAGTAGTTTTTTTTTTTTTTTTTTTCTCTTACTACTGGTCCTGTGGTATTGGGCAACACATTTAAGTATGCAAGTTACCCACAATGAATGCAATCCAAAGTTACCATCCTCTTCTTTGCTTATTCACAGGTTCACAGATGAAGAGTCTAGAGTATTCCTGCTTGATAGGGGTAATACCAGGGATAAAGAGGCTCCAAAGGAGAAAGGATCAGAAAAAGGCAGGGCAGAGGGAGAATGGGACGATCAGGAAGCTCTAGATTACTTTAGTGATAAAGAATCTGGAAAACAAAAGTTTAATGATTCAGAAGGGGATGACACAGAGGAGACAGAGGATTATAGACAGTTCAGGAAGTCAGTCCTTGCAGATCAGGGTAAAAGTTTTACTACTACATCTCACCGGAATACTGAGGAGGAAGGACCCAAGTACAAGTCCAAAGTTTCACTGAAAGGCAATAGAGAAAGTGATGGATTTAGAGAAGAAAAAAATTATAAACTTAAAGACACTGGATATGTAGTGGAAAGGCCTAGCACTACAAAAGATAAGCACAAGGAAGACGACAAAAATTCTGAGAGAATAACAGTAAAGAAAGAAACTCAATCACCTGAGCAGGTAAAGTCTGAAAAGCTCAAAGACCTCTTTGATTACAGTCCCCCTCTACACAAGAATCTGGATGCACGAGAAAAGACTACCTTCAGAGAGGAGAGCCCTCTTAGGATCAAAATGATAGCCAGTGATTCTCATCGTCCTGAAGTCAAACTCAAAATGGCACCTGTTCCTCTTGATGATTCTAACAGGTAATTTCACATTGATGCCCAGTAAATAATCTGTAGGTGGTTAGTAATATTCCAGTTAATGTGTTTTCTGAACATATTTCCCATTTTCATATTCAAACCAATGGTATATTTTGTTTGTATGTGTGTTTGTGCCGATATGTTCCAGACCTGCTTCCTTGACTAAAGACAGGCTTCTTGCTAGCACACTTGTCCATTCTGTGAAGAAGGAGCAAGAATTCCGATCCATCTTTGACCACATTAAGTTGCCACAGGCCAGCAAAAGCACTTCAGAGTCATTTATTCAACACATTGTCTCCTTGGTTCATCATGTTAAAGGTATGTTTAGTGTTGTGAATCAAGTTTCTCTTGCAAATGAAAGGAAACAAACAATTATGCTTACTATTTAATGTACCCCAGTGCTAGCAGGTGTACATAGACACCATTAAAAATTCGAAAAATGAGAATTTCATGAAAGAGATAATCAGTCTTGCTAGCATTAAGACACATGGAAATATTTAATAAAAAGTGATGAAATGTTAGTGTTAAAATATCCCCTAAAAATTTATATCATGGTAAACACGATGTAGATTTATTTAATGGTAAAAGTCTTTTTGAAATGTGCCATTAATACTGTATATGATGTATGACTTAGCACAATATATTCTTGGCATAGATTTATAAGAAAGTGATTTTTATTGAATATTGGGTATTAAGAATTTCTTTTCAACTTTTAAAGAAAGCTGAAGCCAGTGGAAAAACAGTATTCCTGTCTTGTTTTTGTGTTACTTAATTTGTTATAATACTTAGCATTTTTACGTGATAAATTAAATAAACCAGAAAAAAAATTATTAGGATTTTTAAAAGGAAAAGAAGTTCAAGAAATTTAAAAGTAGATCAGTAGTGATTACATAAATTGTGAGTAATTAGGGTAATAATGGTGAAATTTTTTAGGTCCTGAAGATGATAAGGGTGTTCATTTCAATTAAAATAATGATGTTCTGTTTTCACCACCAGTATGTAATTCTAGTTTCAAAGTTACTAATTTTCAAAGGTTTAGGGTATGACTTTTTGGGCAATTAGATTGTTTTGTTTTTGTGTTTAAAAGGCAGCTTATTATGAAATAGGTTTTTAACCTGGAATCTCCATGGCTGTTGGTCTTAAAAGCCATTTCTTAAAAAAAAAGTTTGTCTTTTGACATGAGAACAACTCATTATAATAGCTGAAACTTGTCACTAGCAATTCTTTATGCACGTGATATTTCAAAATAGTGAATAGTTTATGAATTTCTTTTTTGACATTATTTAAACATGGTAACAAAACAGTTTTGTTATTTGCCTATATCTAGGTTTGTGAACCAGTTTATGACCATGTTATTATGGTACATAAAATATGAAACATTAACATTTTTTCTTTTTTCACCTTTTTTTGACCTGTCTCCACATTTCACAATGTATTGCTGACTTTTGAGATCAGGTTTTGATAAAATTTTCCTTTTTCATTTTCTTTTTTTCTTTTTTTTTTAAAGAACTGTAGTTATGTTTCATTATTGGTATTGTGCAACCGATCTGAACAGCTCTTACTTAATTTAGAGCTGAAAATGCCCAGTGATGTTTTCTTTTTCATTGTAACTAGGTCCTGGAATATGTTTTGAAATGGCAAAATCCATGTTTCAAAGTAAAATAGCTGTTGAAAGATACAGGCAAAGTTGAATCTTCTGTCTTCCTGGCAAAAATGGCATAAAAACTGAGTTACTAGCTCAAATTCCTGGGTTTCATGGAATTATGATTGAGGCACTACCCTTGTAGTGGGCGTTTCAAGTTTTAATGATTGGTTATGAGACATGTGCTGGATATTGGGCGGTAAGTTGACACAGATGTATGTTGACCTGTTAAGCAGATAGTTTGCTTCGTAATGTAACATTTCATGACTATATATGTCTTTGTATTTTACATTTACAGCATATCTTGAACTGATTTAAAAATTAATCAGTGTTGATATTACTAATTTTAAAATTGTTAAAAGAAAAGGCAGCAATATCAAATGTGCTGTCAAGTTTGCCAAGATGCCAGATTTTTGGAGTAATAGTGAATGTTAATTGATTGAAAAAGTATTTTCCAATTGAAATAGCAGTGTTCAGTTGTTCCTTAAATCCATTTTTTTGTCAGTATAGTTCTTGATAAAATAATTTTATTTACTTAACCAGCTGTGTAGTTATTTCAGTATTGTTTTCTGCAAATGATTACTTGAAGTAACCTCATTAGTTCATATTGGCAAGGTACAAGGATATTCACATATGATTGTTTTTGTTCTGTTTGAGGAAGTAGTGCATTATTGAAATGGATTTAGAGACTCTCAACTTAATCTATTCATTGTTCTTGGATTATATGTAGTATTGACAGGAACCTGTGAGGAACTTTGTATCAGTTACTTGTTGAGGTACAAGAAGTTATAAAAGGGACAGGGTAAGAGCTCTTTGTAACACTTGATTCTCTTCTGCTAGGTTTCTTATTTTTATTTTCTTTTCACCTGCTACATGCCCTTCTGTCACAAATGAAAATCACTCTTAAAGTAAAGATAATTGGGCAGTTTTTCTCCTTAATCAACAGAGCAATACTTCAAATCAGCTGCAGTGACCCTAAACGAGAGGTTCACTTCGTATCAGAAAGCCACTGAAGAACATAGTACCCGGCAAAAGAGCCCTGAGATACACAGGTATGTGTATTATTGAATGGGCATATAAAAATGTTTTAATAAGAAGACACTGTTTAAACAAGATTATATGAACTATGCTGTCATCGTGATACAAAATGAACTTTGGTTTTATTCCTGATTTATCCCTTGAATAAATATATTTCCAGCCTTGAAAATTTTGTAATTTATTGTTTATTCTTAATTTTCAGTTTAGTTGGTTTAAATGGATTGTTAGAATTTAAAATACTCTTATCACTCCCCAGTATGGAATTAAATAGTTACCACATTTGTTCTTTGGGAGTGGATTGGATATCTAGAGTAACCCTTGAATTTAATTTACTTCCAGTAAGTTTGTAAAATAAAAATGCTTGGTGAGAGGTACAACTGTTTTTCATGAAAAGAGCATGAACATTGAAGTCAGACAAGTATGTGCGTATCTCGGCTCTGTGACTTCATTGCATTGTGATGAACTAATAATTTAATCCTGAACATTAGTACTTTTCCATCTACAAAATAAGGATAACTGCTTATTTTGCAGGGTGGTGGTGACTATTAGTATTATTGGTTATGGAAGACCTGCTTATTAATACATAGTAAGTGTGGGTTTGACGGTGACTGCTGAAGAAGCACTGGGAAGTTGCAACTGACACTAGCTTAAAATGGCAAGGAAAGGCACAGAATAAAACTGAAGATCTACGGAATATTTAAAAATATTGGAGACACTTAGGAATAAATGATCCTATTTGCATTTTCATTGAGGATATTAATGTGTTATAATGTATGATGATTGACACTTAATAATAATTAAAAGAGGATTTTCCTTTTTTGATGATTAAAATAAGTTTGTTTTTAAAAGGCTTCATTTGTATATAAAATCTAAGCATTTAATTCATTTTTAATGGAAATAGCTTTATTTCTTTCTGTTAGTAATTAGATTAATAATCTTACTGTGCTAAATTAGTTGGTTGGGAGAGAAATAACTGTTTAATATTTCCTTTACAAAAATGGACAATTCTGAGGATTTTTTGGAACCATTAGGTTAATGTAACTACAAATAGACTTTATTTTACATTAAGGAGAATCGACATCTCTCCAAGTGCCCTGAGGAAGCATACCCGTTTAGCAGGGGAAGAGAGAGTTTTTAAAGAAGAAAATCAAAAGGTATGTTTTTAATGGACAAATTTTTCATGTGAAGTTCCTTAGTTAATGATATTATGCAAAGCATAGTTTGTCTAGGCAAAATGTTTACAGATATCTTCTTTTTTTTTTTTGATATCTTCTATTTTTAACTTGTAAATACATTATATATACAGAGGGTGCCCAGAAAATGTATGCATATTTTAAGGAAGATAAAACTATTAAAATTGTAATAATATATACTGATAACAAAAGATGAATACTGGTCATGTGTGTACAATTTTTTGGCACCCTTAGTATTTATGATAGTGTACATAGCATTCTTTCCTAAAAGAAATTAAACTGATACTATATGTATTTAAGTTAAACAAAGAAAGTGATCTTTTTTTTGAGAATTTTTAAGAGTTTATTTGAGCTGAACTGCCAACATACACCGGGGAGCAAGATCTCAAATGCTCCCCAAACCAAGAATAATTTTTAAAAATGTTAATGAAAGGAAGAAATTAGTTCTAAGAAGGGTAAAGAATCAATGGGGCAACAAAGGAATAGTGTAAAAGCAATGATACAAATTATATTAAGGTTTCTATAAAGTTCTGAGGTGAAACGGATGAGCCAAAATAAATATTCCTTGATTTATGTGTGCCTAAATTAATATCTTTAGGTTCTTCATGGAGTGAAAAAGAAGTAATCCCATGCTACTGGGCATTTTTATTTTTGATCTGTACTAAGAAATAAGCGTTCTAAAATCTGATTTACAAATGAATGGGATAAAAACTATATGTCACTATTAGGATATTGTGGATTTGGGGGTATGAATGTTTTTAAACTTGAGAGAGGAGCCTGTGAGTGACTGGCCTGGGGTTGCTCTTTAGAATGGAATTCAGTCATTCGGGGGACTTCTGATATACTCTGATAGTTCAAAATTGACATTTCTAGGTAGGCCAGTCATATGACAGGCCCTGAAAGTCTAGTAGAAATGTGGGGAAAAGTAGAAAAGAAGTAACTGGTAAAGAAAGGGTTAGGGGACTTGGAAGTACTGCTTTGTTCCAGTCCTGGCCGTCACTGAATACTGTCTCTGATATTTGGAAAACATTTAGCATCTTGGATGTTGGTTTTCCAATCAGAAAAATGGAAATACATTTGTTTTGCAAAGTTGTTGAACAATGGGGCTATTATGAAAACATTGGCGCTTTTATTAATAGAAGCTTTTATTAACAGTTGTATACAAAATTTTTTTAATAGGGCATGCTATTAACTTACTAGATATGGAATTTAAAGCTTAGAAAGAAAATGATTTCTTTACATGGGGCATATTGATCTTGGAAAAGTAGATTCTGAAACGTGAATACTAATTTTGGTTTTTACTTTCAATACCTTGGATTCAGTGTTGGTGTTGTTTTGCCAACAGTTTAGTCTGTCCTTGTGCTCTGTATTATTTTGCTTCTTTCATTACTCAAACCAGATTTTGATCTGAAGGAGAATAAATAGTGATTACTGATGGATGGACAAGAGGATATGATATTGTTTTTTTATCTTTTATCTTCCTATCTGAATGAATGATTAACATGTGCTAATGTGTAGAGTGTGTGTGTGTATGTGTGTGTGTAGTTTGGAGTTTACAAACTACTTTCACTTACATTAGCTTGTTATTTGTGGGCTTGGTATTACCTAGATGAATAGGGTTTTTGCTCTTGATTGGATTTTTCTTTGTTACCCTGGGAGTAAATAGGTGAGTAGTTGATATTTGGAGATATATTTATACTTTCAGGTTTATGAATGCTAATGAATATTATAGCTAGACTTCCCAGAGTAAGTACTTCTTATTGTTGAATACTAGCAAGGATGTCCACATTATTAGCATCTTACTGATGTGTAATTTTTCTTCATTCCTAGATTCCTCTTTCCATCTTCCTAAATTATATAGTATTTGAAAAAGCAATGGAACAAGAAGGAGGTGAATTGTGACCCAGTTAAACTAATGTCCGTTGCAATACCTGAATTGAGAAAGGGCAGTATATGGCCCAAGATACTGAGTACAGGATTGGGAATAATGTCTTTCTGGCTTTTTTTTCTACCTTTGTTCAACTTCAATTGGTTTCATTAATCATATTCCACTTGCATGTTATGGAAATTACAGAATTCTTTAAGTGGTTTTTATTGGGTTGGTTAACTTATTTGGAAAGAGCTAGATGATAACGAGGTTTAACTAATGAGAACCATTATTTTAGGATCCCTTAACTTTATAGGCAGATGGCTGTACAACTATAGATTATAATCTCATTGTTAAACTATTTTTAAAAATGCTGTTTGGAAGGATGAGGGATGATAGTGAGGAATGCTGAGTGGAAAAATAATTGTATCATTTTTGTACAGAAATTTATTGTGGATTAGTTTGAACAAAAACCTAGGACATTTTCAAGATAATTAGCTTTTAGTAACTTTTCCCGTCTCACTTCACTTGTGTACACAAATGTTTAGTAAAAACAATCAAGTACATTTTTAAACAGAAACTAAGTATGGAAGTAGTTTGTTGTTATTTTATTTTCTGACACTAAAATGTCAGTTTAGAAACTTGCATAAAATTTGGCTATATTTTTTCTATATTTCCCCTGAAATCTGTATTTTACATCTGTCTTTTATAGGGAGATAAAAAATTAAGGTGTGATACTGCTGATCTTCGGCATGACATTGATCGTCGGAGAAAAGAAAGAAGTAAAGAACGGGGCGATTCCAAGGGCTCCAGGGAATCCAGTGGGTCAAGAAAGCAGGAAAAAACTCCAAAAGATTACAAGGAATACAAATCTTACAAAGATGACAGGTAATTGTTAAAACTGCCTGAATTAGGTTTTAGCTTCTAATTAGCCTTTAATAATTGTCAGCTTAATTGCTTTCAATTTTGACTATGTAATCGAATGTTTAAATTTAAACAATTAAAATTATTTGTTTTACAGCAAAAATGTATTTGTCTTTTACACGGCTTATGGTGGATGAGGACAAAAACTTTGGAATAGCAAGCTAACACTGAAAAAAAAAATGACAAATTAATGTGTCCTATTATCCAGGCTACATCAGGAGGTTGGACTTCAATGCAGTGCATTTCTAGAAACAGTTTGTGTAAGAACTTTGGTTCGTTATGCTTGATTCCGCACTTTTTCAACTCATAACACCCAGAGTACAAGAATTTTAAACTGATATCTAGTGGTTTAACATGGGAGAGAAGGGGGGGAGGAAAGACTAGTTTTTATGAAATAACAAAGTGTATAAGTCTTTCAAAGTAATGTTTCCATGGATACTGTTAGCAGTGGTAAGAGTTATCTCTGGTATGACCTTATCGGGTATTGCATTAGAGTCATGTAAAATTGATCATCATAGAGTCAAATAAATAATAGGAATACTAAGTATCATAGATAATTGTTTTTCTTGGTATTCATTAGGTAAATGGTGGATTTTAATTGTGTTTTTTAATTTATAACTGGTATTTGTAATTTCATATGCTTTTTATTTCTATAACGGAGTTATGGCCCAAACCATACCAACTCTTTTCACCCAGGGTGTACAAACTGCAGTCATTTTGAAACTTGGCCTTAAGAACATTCTTACTTTTTCCGACTCTTCTTTTTCTTTCCTTAAAATAACAAAAAAATAAATTAAAAATATTGAAGAACTGAACCTTATTCTTGAAGTTTCCAGACTGCTAGTTTCTAACTGGCAGGCCATAGCATGTTTTTCAGTAGTGATGTAAAACAAATATTGAAGGAGAATGGAAACACTGTCAAAGTTTAACACCCAATCATTTTAGTTATATAATAATTTTAATAGGGGATAGTTTTTTGGCTTGAAAAATATCCCTCTTATTATAAGAGTCAACAGGGTCTTCATCTTTTTAAAAATAGCACATTTTTTTGTTTTATTTATTTTGCAGTAAACATAAAAGTAGAGAGCAAGATCATTCTCGATCTTCATCCTCTTCAGCATCACCTTCTTCTCCTAGTTCTCGTGAAGAAAAGGAGAGTAAGAAGGAAAGAGAAGAAGAATTTAAAACTCACCATGAAATGAAAGAATACTCAGGCTTTGCAGGAGTTAGCCGACCACGAGGAACCTTTGTAAGTAATAAAATTATCCTTGATCATTTGATAGGACTTTACCTTAGAGTACTGTATATAAAGAAAGTAAAATATATGATTTAGACATTGTCTGTTATGTGAGTCATTAACTCCTACAGTTAGAATTAGGCTTGAAAAATGAAATGGTACTTTGAAGTATCATCTTCATTAAGAAATGTCATTTAGGGGGAGGGAAGAGGGACTGGAGCTGGGAAGATACTTTTTTTGTACACAGTAAAAAAAAGAAATGTTTTTGCTTAATTAAAATAAGAGAAATGCCATTTGAGATCTAGAAGCATCTATATAAACTAGATATATTTCTTAACTTTGGAATCAATAACTGTCCATAGTGCTTAAAGACCCAAGAGTCAAGGAGGGTTATTGATTGAGACCCATTTCTTTAATAACTTAGTTTTGAAAAGGTATCTAAAAGCATTTTAAAAATCTTTATGTTCATCTCTGTATTGTAACTATTTTCATCTTTGCCTGTTTTCTTCAGGTCCTTGTTTATATGTGTATCAATCGTAGAAATCATACAATTTTTTACAGAGCATACACATTACCATGTTTTAATACATTTATTTTAATTATTAATTTAATGACTTCATAGTAGTGCATCTTCTTGACTCTTAATTTTCTAAATTCAGATTTCTACCTTGACTGAGGATCCAGTTGGTTATTATAGAGATCATTAATTAGATCTTTTGGGAAAGAAAAGAGCTTTGCTTTTATGGTTATAGGTATAGTTGAACACTTGGGCCTCCTATGATAATTCAGAGACAACTCTTGGCTAGTATAAAGGAAAAGAACCACCTTGATTATTTTAAAATATTAGTTCAGGTCATGAAAATGTAGTATTCTAACAGTTTGTGCATTTCTTCTTAACCTATTCAACTTTCAGTAGGCAGAATTTTTTGCCTGTGATACAAAGTGGCCATCCTTTTCATCCTCAGTGGCTAAGAAATTGAGATTTCGCAAGGAAATTAGGGAACATGTTTTTTGTTACTGCAGTAAAATTAGAGTTTGCATGTAACTAAATACCTTTGATTGCGTTACTAAACAATTTTGTTAATGTTAATCAGTTTCGAATTAGAGGCAGAGGAAGAGCCAGAGGAGTTTTTGCTGGGACAAATACTGGTCCAAACAACTCAAATACTACTTTTCAAAAGAGACCGAAGGAAGAGGAATGGGATCCAGAATATACCCCAAAGAGCAAGAAGTACTTCTTGGTGGGTGTTAGAAATCTGTGTTTATTTGGTTTGCATTAATTTTCAAAGCATACTGGGTGAATACATTTAAGTACAGATATCCACTACTATGAGAAGATTTCACCATAATGCGGGAAAACTTAAAAATTTATTACCCAGATGTTTGTAGTTTTGAAAATGTGGGTCCCTTTAGTCTTGTTTATACTTTATTTACATCACCTATGGGCTGATCAGGGTAAACTAAAAATATACCTGATTTGATAGCCACATTTAGAGAAGAACGTGAATGTATGTTTTATCTGTCTATAAGACAGTGACAATTGTAGAAACTTCTCATTAAGATTTACCTTCCATCATTACAGCCAATTGTTTAAATGAAAGACAAGAAGAAGAATTCTTTCACAGTACATGTAATTAAGGATCTCAGGGAGGCTATTAACTTTCATTGGAGTAAAAAGGAAGATGAAAAATTAAGTACAGAAAAGTTGCTAAGTATACTAATTTGTGTTTCCTTGTGATGCTTTTCTCTGAAGTATTTTTCTTAAGGATGAAACTAGAGGAAAGTGGGTCCTGAAAGATTCTCTAGGTAACAATGGACATTTTCTGCAATGTAGCATGGAGGAAAATAGTTCATCCTGCATTATAGACAGACTGAAGAATATATCAAAAAGTGTTCCCAGAAGTATTCATTTTTGTCATAGCTTCTCAGGGAAGTCCTGTTTCAGAGACTGGTTCTGAAGACCTAGTAGTTTTGTTGAAGCAAGTAGGAAGATAGTACTGGATTTACAGAATTGTCTCTTTCATTGGCATTGAATATATTTGAATAAACCTGAATGTCCACAGCACATCTGCTAAGTTAGAGGATAGAGCTTTATTCTGAAGTAGATTGATATTTTGTTTGGAGAATGGGCAGTGCAATTATTTCAGAAATGAGTATCCATTTGCCTCTTTTGGGGGGTACTTGAATGATCAAGAGTCCAAAAAGCTAAATTTTTACAGAGCACATTATGCGTAATGTTTGCTCAACATATGTTCCTTTGAGGAGAAATTGCTTGTTTGAGTTGGTTGAGTCGACAGTCTGGAAAGTGAAAGGTATCTCCTTCAGTTACAGAGAAGTTTAAAAGATCCATCTCCTTTTTGATTTAAGAATGTATGTATGAACAGAGTGCTGTTTATACTAGGTCTGAAAGATGCAAAGACAAATATGATATGATTCCATTTCTTGGCTTAGAGACGAGTAATGGAGAAACAAACATTCTAAATCTGTATTGTAGATTTCCTCCAAAGGAGGAAATGCTGGATTATCGCAAAGGAGAGTGAGATTAGGAGAGACCTCATAGAAGAATTTGGCTTGAATTTTGAGCTGAGTTTGAATCTTGAGCTTTTAAAAGATGGGCAGGTGTACTGCAGATAGCAGAAGTGGTAAAGTATCCTGATACAGAGAACTACAGTACTTGGGTGGCTAGATGGTTGGTATAGATATGGGAGAATTAAGCAAAAGCAGGTGCTAATTTGTGGAAGACCGAAAATATAATACTTTTATAAATTTGGATTTTAAGCAGTTTTAGACGAATCATGGTTGTGAGAACAGATCTGAGCCATGTCTGAACTAAGGGGCTAGACTTGAGAGAAGAAAGTAATATGAGGGCTTAACTTTGGGACCCACTAGATGGGTGTTGGTAGTAAGAAGAAGAAATTCTCTTAAGATGTAGAGAGTACAGGGGAAAGAAGCCTATTGGAGGAGATTACGTTCTGTTCTTTTTTATTTATTTATTTATTTTTAAGATTTTATTGGGGAATTGGGGGAGGGGAACATACAAGTTGCTGTCCTCTTGTTCTTCAGTCTAGTTGTGGAGGACGTCGCTTCACTGGCCCATTTGGTATTATCATTGGGCTCTTCCCAGGTGAGGCAGATTGGTCGCCAGCCACTGGACAGCCGCTCACAACAGCTCTTGGCAGCTCACGAAAGCTCACGCCCGCTGCCGGCCTACGCCATTGCTGGCAACTCACGGCAGCCCAGCTCCAGGTTGAGCTGTTGTTCACCATCTTAGCTGTAGAGGGCGCAGCGTCATTGGCCCTAATGTGGGATCCGAACCGGGGCCCTGCTGCTCAGAGCTGGTGTCCCAAGCCAGCTCTTAACCAGCGTGCTACTCGGCCGGCCCTAAGTTCTGTTCTTGAAGTCCCTGGGAGAAATCAAGTAGAGATGTGCAATGGATAGTTGCTAATGCAGATCGAGAGAGAGGAAAATCTAGGAGCCATCATCTTACAGGTCACAAGTAAAGCCATTATAAGATCACCTAGTCAGAAGAGGAGAGATTAAAAGGCCAACCTTTCAAAGATGGGGTGAGGAGTGAATGATAGTAAAAATACCAGACAGCAGATCAAATATGAAAGGTCAAAAGGTTAAGAGGGAAATGAGAGATAAATTAGTAGATAGTAATTAATTTTTTAACACTTTCAACATTTTACAAATATTTAATTTAGGCCAGACTTTTATTTTTCTATGGCATTATTTCATAATCTGGTATCATAGTTTTTACTTTAAATTGGGACATAATCGTTTTAAGTAGGCATGTAATGAGACAGTAGTTTTGCTAATCAAGAAGAGTATGATACTTTAAGAATTTAGCCATTATAAATAGTGTTAACATTTTGTATGTTGCTATCTTGGGTTATATTTAAAATTTTTCATTTCTGTATTAAACATACACATGCATTTGGCACAGACTGGTGTTTACTAGAAGTAAAATTAACCCAGTACATTTTTTTCTAATAAATCAATTCCCAAAGTTAATTATTTTGGCTCTTAATTATGAGTTACTGAAATGACAACTGGTTTTTACATGGATATTTAAATTTAAAAGATCTTGCGTCTTCTGTAAGGTTACTTGACTTTTCAGCTAGTGCTGAGAATATAAACAAAAATATAATTCCGAAGAAATGAGGTTGAAAACTAGACATTCCCTTAGGTTCTTTTCAGAATAATTGACCAGCATGGAAGGTTTGTGCGTATTAATGAAACATTATAATAGTAGTAATAATGACAGATAACATTTATTGAAAGTATGTACTATGCTAGGCACCATTTTGTGTTTTAAATGTATATATGTATCTCATGCTTATAGAGTCCTTTTGAGGTGAAACCATTATATCACTTTTACCTATGAAAAACACTGAGGTACAGAGATTGAGCAGCTTGATCAAAGTTAGTTACATGGCTAGTGGGAGTGGGGTCAGAATTTGAACCCATGTTTTGGGCTCTGCAGACATGGTATCATTCTTCCAATGGTAACATTGGTTGCATTCTTTTCTGAATTTTCCCATGTCAAAACTTGGATTTATGCAAAGATATGGTAATGTTTTCAATAATAAGTACTCCAGGAGAGATAATAGTCTTAGAACCTGAAATTCTATGGAGGGGTGAGTATATGAAGAGTTGGAGCAAGTGTAAAAGTGTTAAAATTGGCAAGTTCTCAGTGGCGAGCTGATGTCTTCTTAGGAAGAGAAAACCCCAGTGGAGGAGAAGGGTTTAGGGTTGGAGTTTTAATAAATGAACCCTTTGAAACTTGATCCTTCTATGGTGAAGAGATAAGAGGATTCACAAGGTTTTGGTTCTAATATGGCCTCCTTTTATAACATGTTTTTGTCTGTGTATTATGTATATCTGACTCCTCTGATCCTTTATTGTCTATGAAGTAATTTTTAAAAGTTGTAACAAGACCAAAATCTTGGATGTAAGAATTGGAGGATTAAGAGGTAATGTTTAGCATCAAAATGTCACTTAGCTGCCAGGATAACCTCTGAAATACACAGCATAGTTTTCTAGTTATTGGTTGTTTTAAACCCAGTTTTTGATAATTGTATTTTTAAAAGTATTGGTTAGTTTAGTGTCTGTCTTTGCTACTGATTTTCTATTGCTAACCTTATCTGTTTTGTATTGTAATCATTTACTGCCACCAGGACTCCTGAGAAATGTATTCTGTGGATGATGGGCATAAGGGGTAATGGAAAGGACTACTTTTGTGGCCTTGGGCAAGTTACTCAGTTTCTCTATGCCTCAGTTTCTTCATATGTAAAGTGGAATTAGTAACAGTATTTTACAGGGTTGTTATGAGGATTAGATAAGTTAAATACGTGGAAAGATCTGACTCAGAACAGTGCCTTATCCTTATTAAGCACTACATAAACATTACCAAAGTTGATTGAGTGCTTGCTTGTCACACACTGGGCTGGGCACTTTTTACAGATCATCTGTGTTTCTGCAAGGCTGTCCTTTTTTTAAAATGAGATAAAGTCATGTTTCTGTTAAGATACAAACCCATGCTTCTGACTCTAAAAACTGTTTACTTCCCACAAGTTCATGGAATACTGTGTAAATAACACAAACAGAAAAACACAAACTCTGGAGTTGGGTATGCTGATACCAAAAGGGAACCTGAAATTATATAATTGGCCATTATATTTTGAGTGGCAGACTGTTAAAACAGTTTATTTCTAGTTTATAGTTACTTTCTGACATACTGAAATTTACACTTTTGATAGTCCCTAAATACGTTCTTTATGGGGTCATTCACACCTCTAGCTAGCGGTCTTTCATTGGTTTGACGAAGATAGATTATTAGAAATTGGTAAGTGCTCTTTCATATAGTCTGTTAATTACATGTGAAACTGAACTTTTCAAGTCATTCAGCAGGGAGGGTGATCTGTATTATGTATTACATGAATATGAACAAAGGTACACTATTTTGAAAAAGGTACTCATCACATAATACTTGAAAAAAGTTTTAGTGACTTTTGGACTGTTGATCAATACTCTCTAGGTTATGCAGCATTGCTGCATATATGCCTGTTTTCTCATACAGGGCCATCATCTTGCCTTATTTCCCATTTGTGTAGGTGACAGACTTAAGAGTTTAAGTTTGAGGTGGGCGGCAGTTAATTACATTACAGGAGAACTTTGGCTTTTTGTTTTGTATTTTGGGATGTAATACTATGTACTCCTTTACAAAGTCAAAAGTACTTTCAATTTTGCAGATTGTTTTGATTAATAGAGTAAGTTGTAATTTGGGGAATGTTTCTTATTTGGATACAATTAATGAAAAACTAAGGTTGGAATGTAATAGCTATAGTACTTCAGGTTGGTGAAAAAGAAATAAGTTGAGGTATTTCTCTAGGTACCATGCCATCATGATTTGGGGTGTGAGATTACCTGGCCCAGAAGATTGAAGTGTGTAATATACATTGATTTAGATTTAAATCTCAGTAGAATTTTAAAGTTGTTTCTACATGTAAGCTATAATTCACCTATTTTATTTATAAGTGTTGATAAGTTAATGATGTTTTTATGACTTTGTCACATCTTTATGAATAAAATTTTGGGGGAAATATCATTTCTCATTGGGGGGTTATTTTATCTCATTAACATGCAGTATAATTAGTAAGTAGACTTAGATTGAAATAAAATGGGAAGGAAAAAAGTAAAAAATTTGAAAATTGGCAGTAATTTAGCAATCGACATTCTCCAAAAAATTGTCTAGGCAGCTCTTTAATGTTTGGGTTACTAAGCAGTAAAATGTAATTTGCTTTGATAATAGAATGTATTTGTATTGAAGATTTGAGTTTTATTGGTTTTGTTTTATTGTGTTTTACAACATTACTAATCTCATGTATCCAATCGTCAGAAGATTTATACCATGACTTATGATTGGGGATACAGCCATCTTCCTTACAACAAAGACGTTTTAGTGATGATTGTTTTTAACCTTTCTGTAGCATGATGACAGAGATGATGGTGTGGACTATTGGGCCAAAAGAGGAAGAGGTCGTGGTACTTTTCAACGTGGCAGAGGGCGCTTTAACTTCAAAAAATCAGGTAGCAGTCCAAAATGGACTCATGACAAATACCAAGGGGACGGGATTGTTGAAGATGAAGAAGAGACCATGGAAAATAATGAAGAAAAGAAGGACAGACGCAAAGAAGAAAAGGTAGACAATTTCAAGTTGTTAGTGGTTCTAACAGATTTTTTTTCCATAGGAACAGTGATTATTATGGATCATTTATACTCTCTACATGTTTGCTAATCTTTATCTCTCTTTCTTTCTCTCTGTTGTTTTTTAGGAATAGTAAATCTGAAGTGAGATTGCAACAGAGAGCAGAACTTGCACCCACCATTTTTTTACCTGATTTTTGTTTTCGATAAGAATGTAAGCATTTTACTTAAATTTTACTGTTTGCAAGTAGTCTATAGAAATTTTGTTTTAAGTCTTCAAATATCTTGAAAAATAGTAGATTGTATGTTGAAAATTGTACTGAAATAAAGTAGAAAATTGTTACGTACCATATTTGTAACTACCAACTTTTAAAAAAAATACTTTTACTGTTTTTGTTACATGCATTGTAATTCTGCTTTGTCTATAAGATATGGTCAAGTACAACTCTGTGAAAGTTCTGATTCTCTTCTTTCCCTGTTTGTTAATGTTTATTCTGAAGTAAACGTTAGCTCTACATACAAATCCCGGAACAGAAATTGTTTATAGAGACTGCACTAATCATTTTAACTCCATACACCTGCTTAACATTTTCCTTAATTCAAACACACTACATTGTAGGGTGGCTAATTTTTGAAATGTACCACAGAAAAAGTTGTTACTTGGGTAAACTAAGCTAGCTTAACACTTCTGCAACTGTTTAAGAAGAAGAAGCTTTGCGAGGAGCTAAGAAATACAAGCTATTAAAAGTTAGATTGAAAAGTATGAGAAATTTTTTTTAATTTTTTTTTTACTGAAAGCAAGCAGTGGCCTATAAAAAACATTCTTAGGAGCCTTTACTATTTTGGTTTAAAATTCAGTGTTCTCTTTCTATTATTTGAACATTTGAGTCATGGTCTTAAGATAGCAGCTATTCTTTGACAGAGGAAACTGGTTTGTAATAATACTGCAAATAAAAACCCCATTCTTATCGACCATCTTATTTTTAACATCAAAACAACAAACCTGTAATTGTGATGTTGATACGGAAGAGGATTAGCCTGAAGAATAACTTGATACATTAAAAAGATGTATCTTATTTCATCTTACATGTTTATTTGAGCTTTTGGACAACTGAAATATTTTTATTATAGTCTAACCATAAGGAAAAAATAGGTGCATAGAGCATACTGTTCATTAGTATTTTAAGTAACTTGTTTTTCAGATGTCACCAATAAAAAGTTTTTGACAGGAAGTTGGTTGCAGCATTCATCCAACTTGATTTTTATTTTTTTCCCCTCGATTTTATTTGCAGTTTTTTCTTCCCAAGGGGTCTATTTTTTAGGTAGATAATCTTTAAAATGTGAATTACATTTATGTTTATGCTGAAAGTTCTTAAAGGAATGAAAATCTAAAATAGTAAATTTCAATGTTAAGTCTGTCTGCTTTATGAGCATATATTGGGTTGTCGGAAAAGTCATGACGCATTTTTGCAACGAAAAACAAAAAATACGCCATAACTTTTCCGACAACCCAATATAAAAGTAGTCAAATTACATTTGTTAATTCACCAGTTGAATTAGTTGTATATGTTTGCATTACAAAGAGATAAAGCTCTCAGTGTACACTTTTAAAGATCTTAACTGTATGACCCTTTCATCCTCACTTGATGATTTGCAATCCTTCTAGCACCTTGATTGCAGCCAGGGGCACTTGCTAAGAGCTATTGGGAAAAAAATCCTCAATATATGTGATGTTTATGGCGCTAAGATCCTTAGTATTGCATGATTTCTCCTATTAATCCTGTCGTTCTGAAACTCTGTTACAGCAGAGGAAGTACTACCAAAGCAAGTATGTGTTGGATTAATCAGGACATAACTAATATTCTCCCAGTTAGAATAATTGCAGGCTAAAGCAACATGGATTTGATATCCAATACAGGAGAATTTTCATGACCATTTTATTTTATACAAATAAATTTAGTTTTTATTTTTAATAGTTATTTGGTTAAACACTGAACCTGTATGCGTGACTATAAATGTGTGATTTTGCTTTTCCACTTAAGACAATAGGAAAAAGGGAATTTACTGAGAAATTATTTAATAGGGAGTGGGAATAAAGCTACCTAAGTCCTATCAGCAGGTTATATTTTAAGTGTAAGTGGATTGCTTTAACTCAAATATACATAGGATTTGGTTACTTTTATTCTCTTAAACAAAATTGAGGAGATAGTAGTATCATAGCAGAATATAGTAGTAGTAAGCAGTAGGAAGCAGGATGATTGTAGATATTATCTTTTTTCAGAGCCACGCATATAAAAAGTAGCCTGTGTGTATTTTTTTAAACCACAGTTTAGCTCCACACTTTGTGACATGTTATAAAAGTTGAGTGGTTTCTCTTCGTAAGGATATTTGTTATAAGTGCCAGAAAATAATAACTCTTTGATATCTGCATTAACAGATTCCTTTTGTCTAGAGAAGGAAAATAAAAATGAACCAAAGGGTATTTCCAGAACAGATAGCTGTTTGAGAAGGCCATGACTCCGTCTTTAGGTGTGTGTACCTTTCAACATCATATCATTTTAATGTAAAAAGCAAAATATGTTTTTCCAGTTATAGCCTACTTTAAGGAATAACAGTTGTTCCCTTTTGTCACAATTAAAAATCAAGTGTTGGGAATTATAAGTTATAATTTGAAAAAAAAATACTACCCAATAAGAATGAATGTAGATGGCTCAACGATTCTTACTCAGTGTGATGTATAAATGCAACAGGGACCCTTGTAAATTGTCATATGCCAATAAAATGTCATAAGTGGTAATAGCTGTTGTTTGCTTACCTGATTTGGAGACTGTTTCTGTGTCTTACATACAACTTATTTCTTTGGCCTATTTTTAGATTTTAGAATACCAGTTCATCTGTTACGAATAATACTGGTGTGGTGTGGCTTTTTGGGGGGTTGATAAGTACTTGATAAAAACTCCTCAAATCCCTGTGTATTTTTTTCTTGTTTCCCCTGGGAAAATGGGAAATTTTATAGTGGATAATTCCAAGCCATTATTAGGCAATACAGGAATTCCAGATTTCTAGTCTAGCCCTACTGTTCCTGTATTAAAACAGGAACTTACCCATAATATTATGATGGAGAATCAGCTTTACTTCTCTTCCTAAAAATATAATAGTTAATAACTAAAAAGTTATTTTTTTTAATTAGTCATTGCTTATTTTGAGTAAGAGCTGGTGTAATTCTTACAATACCCCTCTTATAAGTTATTTGAAATATAGACCATTCTGTCAACTTTAAACAAAAGCATTTTTATTGAAATTTGTGTGCTAGGAGAAATAGATTTTGTCTAATACAAATGGCACATTATCCCTTTAAAAAACTTGGTTAGAGAAATAATAACTCTGTATGCATGTTTAATTGCACTGGGTAATTGTAATGTTATTACCAGTTTCCTACATGAAAGTATTCTATGATGATTATTGGGGATATTTATCTAACTTTTTAGGAGTTTACATAGTTGCTTTTTTCTTTCTCCCCCCCTTCTTTCTCTTTGGGTTTCAACTGGAATCCCTGTGGGATATACTTTGTTCCGGTATGGAACAATATATTCCTTTCACCTTCAGAAAGAGAAGTACAGAGACCTGCCTCAATTCATGAAGTTACTAAATAGGGAAGGCAAGTGGAGAAATAAACTATTGTCATGGGATTGTATTTGGCTAGACTTATTAGTCTCTGAGTAGTAGATCCTGATACATCCCCTAACAAAAATTTAGAGTCCTCTCTGTTACATTTAGGGTTCTCAAGTAGTTGAACCTGTTATTTTTAAATGTGGATATCAAGGGTCTAATTGTTCAGTTTATTGAGGAAGATATTAAAAATTAGGAGTCTATGTTAACCAAGTTTTAAGTGAACAAGGTTTGTTATTCCTCAGTTTCTTAGAATCCAGTTTCTTAGAATCCAGGAATATATAGAAATTAGTTATATTCCATTGTCTGACTCAAAAGCCTGGGAGACTGTAGCTTTATGAGCTGGACTCTTTATTTTTGAGAAACATTCAGTAATGTAATAATTACTGTGAATCAGTTATGAGAATGAAGTAAAAGTTATTAAGTGTGCTAGTTCTCTATTTTATTATGTTACCTCATTATCAAATGGATCCCACTGGTTAAAAAAGAGAATGGGCATTAGGACGGTACTTCACCACCACTGCTAGAAAAAACCCCTCAAATCATGTGTCTTATAATGATCTATACATAAGAAATATTTTTCCTGTGGACATTTTAAGTGTTTTACAACAGTGAACTGATTTGTAGCACCCTTAAAATGCAGAGGATAATTTTGATTCTTGCAAGTAGAGAAGGGTTGGGCAAATTCTTATTCCCACAAGAATTGGAATCAGATTTTTCTTAATCTTGGGGTTGCCCAATGTCCTGATTCAATAATAATGGGCCCTCCCAAAGTATGTGATAGTAAGTATACAACCAGGTAACTTGAAAGGATTTACATTCACAGCATGAGCTGTTTGGCAAACTTCTTGGTACTGTCATAGTACTTGCAAATTCCATGGAATGTAAAGTGCCACAAAAAAAAGAAAGAATGCCACTCCCACCCATCAGAATAGTGGTTTGGTTGCTCATTTACCTAGTTCTTGACTATGGAAGGTCATAATTTTCCTGTCTTGTTTGTACTGGAAAGGGAAAACTAAACTTTATTAAGTTACAGGGTAATTGGAAGGCTGCCATAAGGGGAATGTTAAATACACTTTGAATTTTTTTGAAAGAAATTGAATATCATCACCAATGTATGCATAAAAAAAAGTTATACAATTATTTTTTATGCATACATTTTGGTGATGGTATTAAACTTCCAAATTAAAGCGTTTCCTCCTTTTTACCTCCCGCCCCTGTGATACTGTGATAAAGATGTTCATCATTTGCCCCAGGAGCTGCAGTAATCCGCTAAGTTGGACTTTTTGACCCTTAAATTTAATGTGGGATGTTTTTCAACTATACAATTGTCATTTTTAAGCTAAAAACCCTTTGATGTCATCCTGCTGCCTAAACTTTAAGTCAAGATGAACTATAGGAATTCCCTATGAGCTGCTGCTTTTGCCTTGCCTTATCCCACTTCTTCTTCATTTACCTATCTTAAAATCTTACACCCTAGCAAAAAATTACAGATTCCTCTTTTGTCCTCATTGAATGCAGCACATTCGTGTAGGCTAGCATAGGGGTTGGGAAACTTTTGAGATGGAAGAGCCAATGCTGTCCCTCACAACAATTCAAAATTTATTCGAGATCAGGTCCAGCCCGAGCTGAGCAGCCGCTGAGCTGCCAACAGGTAGCAGGATGGCTCAGCTAAAAAAAAAAAAATTATTCGAGAGCCATAAAACAAATGAAATCATTATGTGAATAATATTTTTAAAAAATTTTATAAATTAAACTAGGATAGTTTTATTTTCATTTTCAATTTTACTTCAGAGCCACATGTACCTACCTAAAGAGCCACATGTGGCTTGCGAGCCACAGTTTGCCAACTGCGCAATGGGCTAGCAACATTCCACTTATGTGTCATCTGCCAGGATAAATGTTTAGCACTTAGCATTGTGCATCATGTATGGTATACATAGTATAGGTATGTAATAAATGCTCCTTGAGTGTGAAAGTGAAAGCATGATGACTGTATGTATAAAGGTTTGATTGGTATAAGCCAATTTATTTTATGGCTGCTGCTAAAACCTAGTTCAGTCTAAGCTGCCTTAAAAATGATGAACAGAAGAGAGTTCAGATTGCAGTGAACAGAAGAATTAGATTGTTAATCTTTTAATACATTGCTCAATTCACCTTTTGTGTGTAGTTGTGGAGTACCTTTTTTTAAAGAGAAAACAACAAAGTAAGGGAAACCAGGAGCTGGAGATCTGAAATAGTGTCATGTGAATAGCTGGAAAAGGTATGTTTACTTGAGAAAAATGATGACTAAGATGGGTCCTTGATAGAAGTCTTCAAGATTTTATTGAATTGGGGGAGAGAACAGCACTGGGGAATCGGGGAAGGGGAACAGACAAGTCGCTGTTCCTTGGTTCCTCAGCCTAGTTGTGGAGGACATCGCCTCACTGGCTCATGTTGGTATTGTGATCATTGCGCTCTTCCTGGGTGAGGCAGATCAGTCGCCAGCCCTTGGACGGCCTCTTACTATGGCTCACGGCAGCCCAGCTCCAGGTCAAGCTGTTGTTCACCATCTCAGCTGCAGAGAGCAGTGTCACTGGCCCATGTGGGATCCAAACCGGCGGCCCTGCCACTCAGCTCGTGCTTCCAAGCCAAATCACAACCAACGAGCCACTCGGCCGGCCCCAGTCTTCAAGTTCTTTGAAGGGCTTTTCCTTAGAAGAGGAACAGACAAATTCAAATCATAAGACCAAGAAGAGCATTTGATAATACTTTGTCTAACCTCATCATTTTAACACGATCCACATTTAGAGGACAGAACCAGACCCATTAGATAAAAATCATAGGTACATAGACTTTTATAAACCAATGAACTAATATTTGACTACTAGGTATTTAAAAAGAAGAGTAGGCATCTTGTGAATAGCAAGTTTTCTGTTTATAGAAGTGTGGAGAATCTGGGTATCTCCCTATCAGGAATGCTGTGCTACCTGAAGTTGTTGAACTTTCTGCTAGTTTTCTGGATTACATATTATTCAAGATTAAATGCTACAGTTTAAGGTGCTTGCTTTATTAAATTGGATGTCACCAACTGAGGTTAGCAGTGGTAATTTTTTAAAAATTAATTTATCACAACATTGAAAAAATGTAGTAGTTATGCAGCCTTTCTTTTTGACTTATGCCATAGCCCTTATGACATACAGCAAATCTTTGGATGATGAATAATTTGCTATTAACTATGACAATCAAAATAAGTTACTTGTAATTATGAAGTAGAAGTTTTTCATTCCTGTTACATTAGACCATGACAATGTTGACAAGCATGAGTTATTGCTGAAAATGAAAACGACTGAATGGAAACATTGGGAGTACTGATGTACTGTCTGGGTGGTCCAGAAGACTGGCAGGATATCCTTTAACTATTTCTCCTGTGTTCTAGGTTTTAACCAAGTCTAAATGATTGACAAGAGTCAAGGCATACCTACATGTGAGCATATAATTGTATCAGAAAACAGATAACAGAATCTGTCAAGTCCTGGATCTTCTGAAAATAATGGAATCAGAAAAATCAGACAACCAGAAAAATCAGACAACAGTTAAGCTTGATGCTTTTAGAGGTCTAGCTATAGAATATTTTTGTTCAAAAATAGCGAGTAATTACATAAATTCTTTGGATTCAAACACTAAGCATAATGTTTACTTTCTTTTGTATAAATTATTTAAAGGTTCAAATTAAAATTCTGCTTTTAGATTATAAACATTTAACTTAGAGTTTGTAATTTTAATATTACTATAAATACCGACTTATAGATACTTAGGTAGTAGGACTCCACTCTGTTTTCCATTACTTAATATTATTTTTATTGCCAATAGGAAAAGGAAACTTTCAGAATTTAATTTGAAATATTTTAATATCAAGGAAAATCGTCTTAGTGTCTAAAAATTTTTTTTTTTTTTAAGATTTTTATTGGGGAATTGGGGGAATGGGAACAGCGTTGGGGGAATTGGGGGAAGGGGAACAGACAAGTTGCTGTCTTTTTGTTCTTCAGTCTAGTGGAGGGCGTTGCTTCACTGGCCCAAGTTGGCACCATCATTGCGCTCTTCCCGGGCGAGGCAGATCAGTCGCCGGCATCTGCATGGCCGCTCACGCTGGCTGTTGGCTACACATGGTAGCCCATGGCAACCCACTGCAGCAGGGGCTGCAGCCTACGCTGTCACCGGCGACTCATGGCAGCCCAGCT